CTACGTCGTACGAAACGCAAAGCAATCTAAAGAAAAGTTTAGTTTTTTGTTTGTTTGTTTGTATGCACTGCCGCTGCATTCACCCATGGTGCTCGTGCTGCTCGTAGAGGCTGCATTTATAGATGTTGCTGCTCTTAACATGCTAGCAGCACCCAAAGGTTATATGTTTCATGCGCATGCAGCACGCAACTATAAACATAACGCTGCCGACAAGCGCTGCAGGAAGAGCAGAGCAGCATTGGGGTGATGCTGAGTACCGCCGTCAGCTGCACAGCTGACCCTGGTTTTTTTTTTTTTTGTTGTTTTTAGCTTCAGGGGAACAACGCATGCATGCAGAGAGCATGCAGGCGTGCAGCTTTCTCTGTCAAGAGCATAAACAGATGGCCAGTAACCCCCGAAAATAAAGCTGAAATAAATGAAAAGGAGAAGGAGAAAAAGGATATTAAGTTTGTTTCAGTTGGTGTTCTTAGAGAAACAAGATGAATACTCCTCTTGGGTTTTTGCTTTCCCTTCACAGCTGCAGCGCTGCTCCATCGGCACGCCCTGTAAGCAAGCGTCGATGTGGTTACCGCAGCCTTGCCTGCATGCACACAGAGATAAAACGCAGGAATACATGCAACTGCTGTGTTTATTTCAATTTGTTTTCTGGTTTTTTAAAAAATTAAATCACAAAAAATGTTTTTTTTTAACGCTGAGATGCCATCCAACACCAAACGTGACGAGAAACGCCGCGCAGGATGCAGATGCAGAGCACACATAGAAGCTTCAGTACTGCAGTTTAAAAAACTTTTTTAGTTTTCAGAAGAAATATAATTTAAATTAAAAAACTGAATTCGTTCCGCTGATCAATAAATTTTGACTTGCCAAGTAAATTTCCCGCATTTATTGCAGGTTATGCGGTAACACATCTTGAACTCTTTTTCTGGAGAAAATGTGAATATTTCAGAAAAAAATAAAAAACAAATCTTCAGAAAAAGAGTTATAATATAAAGTAAAAATATATTTAAATATTTTTATATTTATACGGAGCACTCTTTATATTTTATGCTGAAATCTATTGATGTTGTATGATGGGTTTCTACCCACCAAGCCCCAGTCTACCTGCGTGCTGCGATACTCTTCTTTCTTTTTCTTACATTAAAACAAATTATTTTTATTAATTATTGGTTTTAATATTAATTTTATTTTATTTTATAAATGTTTTTTCCACTCAATAAAGTATTTGAATTCATATTTGTATAACAATGTTCTTGCAACAGATATTTCTGCTGTTGCTTCCTCAACACAACTCCTAAATCTCAGGATACTTCAGGCGGCGAATGAAGCCGGTGTGTATATATACATATGCATCTCTCTCATATGTATATATATATATATATATATATATAGACATATATATA